AATATATTTCCAGAAAACTAGGTGGCCATGGGGGGCATGGATGAACTTAGAGCCGAAACCGACCCAACCCGACTCAAACCAACCAGGTCGGTTTTGCTTAACACTGGGTCGGTTTCGGTTTCCATCTCAGGTAACCCGACCAGGTCGGGTCGGTTGGAAAAACCTCAGTAAACCGACCCAACCCGACCCGTGAACAGCCCTAATTGTAACTTTCTAGTTTGATTGGGGTCAACACTCATTTTCTAAGTGGTTGACAATGTATAATGATGAATTACCAATTTTAATGAAAGTCACCATTTCCAATACAAAAAAAAAAGTAGAAGATAAAATGGCATCATTGTTCTTTCGTCCTACTTTTAAAGGGTAAAAAATTGTCTGTTTTGCAAGATTTGAAGTCATTGGATAAGTAATTGAGCTACCTATTAAACGAGACAAGATCTTTTAAACCCAAATTAGTAAGTTATGGTCATTTTAGTAATAGGGTATCAGTATGTGACAAGATTTCAGTCTTTCTATTTCTTTGGGTGAATCTTGAATTTGTGTTTGGCCTATTTTGTTGCAGTAGGATAAAGTGTTGTTAGAATTCTTTTGGAAGTTAGAGTCCTTGTTTCAGCTTCACTATGGGTTACCTATAGGATTGTCTTACTTCTGAAGCAATTAGAATTTGCTCTTGATCATTTTTGAATCTTAAGTGGAGGTAGAGCCAATTCTCCATATGTTGGGTCTATAAATGATCACTGTAATTGGAAGTTTGAGGTTGAATTAATGAAAAGAAGTTTGTACGAAGTTACCTAGAGAAAGAGACTGATCTACTTTATCTATATTTCACAATCGGGATCTGAATATCTTTTTCACATAAGATCCTTAATTTCCCTCCTTCACCCAGCAAATTCGTCCTGATAAGACTTTCATCTTTTCTGTCCAATATCAAGTCCCCTTTCAAGTTCCACCATCATTGTCCGTGACTTAGGGCATGATACAAGCTTATAGCCTCTGAGAAAGGTCCTAATCTCAGCCTTCATCAACTCACCAGAATCTGTTTGGGCCACAGCATTTCAGTAGGCACTGCCGATTGCTAAGGACCAAGGTTCCCAATGAACACCCATCAAAGATTGACTTAATAGTGTTCAATTTGACACATGGTGAACTTACATCTTTAATAAATGAAATTTGTATAGACAGAAACCCCACTAGCTACAAGGAAAAAGGGTATTTTTCCCAAATCTACCTGAGATGATTATGGTGGAGCCCTTAAAAAACCCTTAAAATGAGAACCCATCTCAGCAGAGTTCTGTTGATTCTCCCCATTAAAGTTCCAGTAAAGGAACATTTCCCCTTGAAGAATGTTCTGTCTCTTTTTCTCAACCCCCCACAGCAGAGAGCAGAAGGGAAGACACTCCAAAGTGATCCAAGGCCTACAAAAAGGCAATAGTAAATGGACCCAGACCCTCTCCTACCATACCTGCTAGCTGGCCACAAGGACATCAGAGAGGATAAGCCCCTACGAGTGATCCAAGGCCTACAAAAAGGCAATAGTAAATGGACCCAGACCTCAGTTGTGAAAGAGAAATGCATCAACAGATGTAAGAGAAATGAGACCACACCTATATTGCACCCACAACATTAACACAAACTGAATTTAACTGCAGCAATAAAAGAATGACTACGCAATCAAGTTTACAAGATGACTTCCTTTCTACCCAATCTGCTAAAACTGTAGAGTTGTTACCTGGAAGAACACATATACACTAGATTGGCTAATAAAAATGGCAATGGGCCTTTAAGTACCCAAAAAACATACCTATCTCCATGATGGAGTTCTTGTTAAAATCCTTCATAAAGACAACGATATATAGAACATATTACCTGATCAAGAATTAAATGTGTTAAAACCTAGTTATCCATTTGCGTTTTTTATTGAGTTACATCAGACTTTCCCTCTAAATTTTTTTTTAAAGGTAAACTTCCCCTCTTCAAAATAAGTTAAATAGTTCATTTTCAAAGTATATTTCATGAAGTTTTTGGTCCTTTAGTTACATATCCATTGGCATATGTAAGAAACATAACTCAATTTCCACATGGCAGGGTTTGGAGGAAATTTGTGGAGTCGGGAGGGAGAGAAAGAGATAGAGCTGCACTAGCCCCAGTGATCAGTTGAAGGAAAAAGCCTACAATGCAGGGACCTGATGAATAAGAATTCCCATTACAAGAACACCACTGCAGTTGATTTGCATCAGAAAGCAACCAAAAGTTCGAGAGGGAGCATATTTATCCAGTTTAACTATCAGATCATGACAACAGTAACAATTGTTGAAACCAGGAAAAATAAATAAAGAAAGAAAGCATTGATGAACTCACTGAGAATGTGAGGAGCAACTCCAGTATTGCTTCTGCATTGCCTTCTCCTAAAAGTAAAACAGAGTCATAATTAATGCAGCCCCTCGTTGTAATGCTCAAGATTATGAAAAATAAGAGCATTTTTACCATTTTCTTCAAGTGCCTTTCCTACTAGCTTTTCAGAGAAGCCCATTCTTACAAAATGCTGAAATAAACTGGACTCTGGAGGACCAGCTGATGAACTTGCCTGAAAAAGACAAAGGAAATCTCTGGTAGATTGGAAATGGCCATCAAAAAGTCTGAATTGTAAACAAGTGGGTGGAATGTCCCAATAAGCATTCCATACAAAAATAGTAAAATTAAATTCAATAAAATATTTTTCATTTAAACAGCCACACAATAACTGGGCAACAGTTAAGAAGAGCATAATGTAGTAAATGACACAAACAAGAATATACAAAGTAAACAAAGGTGGGGGAGATAACAAATATATAAACAGATCATCACAAACCTGTGAAGATAATTCATGAACAACTGTCTCTAGGTGTTCCTAAATTAATCATCATTATCAACAAAACAGTTTTCTTCTTTCTTTTATAATAAACCAAGGAAGCATAATTTATTTGTAGGAAAATTTTATAATTCTAATGCAAACTGATTTTCATCTCATATTACAGTGCATTATCAACTGCTCTAATTTTTCAATTGCTGCAACCAGAAATGACATTCCAAGAAGCCTGAGAAGTAACATTCACCTTCCCAAGAGCTGCAAACTCTTCTTGACCAGCAACAGTAGGTGGCAAACAAGATGAGAACGGCAAGTTAGATTCACGTTCATCTTCACTCTCCCAGTCAAACCCATCACTACCTTCACTAGCAGTTTCTCCATCCTGCACAAAATATAGAACATTATAAAGAAAGACAAATAAATAGGAAAAAAAGTAAGCAAATTATGAAAAAATATGAAAGTAATCTCACAAAGCCTAAGAGATAAGGAACTTATATCAGAAACAAATGGGTGATAGGGTTTTCATGAGTTAATAAGAGAGTTAGCAACTGATCACCACTCTGAGAAATGAAGTGACAATTGAAGGAACTTTTACCATTTGCCAGTAAAACCTAGTTTTGCCCAAGCAAGAACTCTGAATCTGTTGAAAAGCTGAACTGCACAGAAGAACACCAAGTCAAGGCAACACCAAAAACTAAATTGAACTATAAAGAAATATCCATGCAAAATATGCAACAACAACAAAATCTTATAGTTCAAGCTTCGATTCATAAAATGACATGGTTTGCATGTTGAATTTTATGATTGGATCTTACTGAAATTATCTACAGATAGTGCTCGACTGCTGTAATTGGATCTAGGGCTGTCAATGGGTCGGGTCTACCCAACAGAACCGATTATGTCAGTTCCAGTTCTCTGGTTTTGTCCCAACTAATAATTGGGTCAGGACAGGTTCTTGCTATTCCAAACCGATTATATAGTTAATAATATATAAAGGTTTCCTGGTTTTCATTAATTTTTGTTATATTTTATGTCTAAAGGGTAAATTTCATAGACAATATATAAGATCATTTTGGTTAAAAACACTCGTTTTATCAACATATAATCAGATTTCTATTTCACTGTCATTTTTATTAAGGTTATATGCTCACAAATTGAGTTGTAAGTTGTTATTATCGTAAGTAACCATACGTGTCAAGTATAATCAAATTTAATCAGGTCAGACCCAATTATCCTGAATAATAATTGGTTTGGTTCTAGGTATATCTTATGTAACTGGTTAGTAATCAGTTTGGGACTGGTACACCCTGTCCCAAACCTGACCCAACCCATTGATAGCTCTAATTGGATCTGCACCACATTCAATCTGAATCAACTAGGATCCCACATTATACCTTTTAATTGGGATTTGGTTACATCCGTTTCCTTGCTCTTTCACATCCAATGAGGACCTAACTCACATAGGCAATATATTATCAAGCATTGCTTACCAATCTCACTCTATGACAAAAGTGTAGGATAAAAATATGATAGAGCATTATTATGTAAAAATGGAATCATTGTGTTGAAGTTTATTCACATAAGAACTTACATTTAGGTGAACTTATTATTACAAGCTTATCTTGAATTTGTTTTTTTTTTTTCAAATGCAACACCATCATGCACAGAAAAAGAAAATACCATCAAAATCTCAAAAATGTTTCCCAAGAATTTCAGACCTTTTAGTACCAATTGGCAAAGAAACAAAATAGCGAGCTGACAAAGACACATATGAAAATGCTGCTACACTAAGATACTTTGTGATTCCAAGATAGAAGCAACCCAATTGGAACATGAAAATCCTCAGGAACTCTTGGTGGAGTATAAGGGGAAGAAGTAAATAACAAGCTGGTATAATTGATTTTTTTAGAACTGTAACATAAAATGAAATTTCAAAAAGAAAACATGGACATACAATAAAATGACAAGATCATAGTCATTAAGTGAGAAGTATAATTGCTTTTAAAGGATTTTAACCATTAATTCCATCAATATATGAGTTAATCAACCAAAATATCTAACTGAACTGATTTCAAAAAAATAAAAAATAAATCATCATATTGTGTCTCTTATATCACACAAACAGTAAAATTGTTGGTAATAATTGGTAAAACTGTTGATAATAACCATAAGGGAAAATTCCGGATCAGTACCCTGTACTTTGGCTCGAGTGGCAATTTGGTCCCAAAACTTTAAAATGCGACAATTCAGTATCTGAACTTTCAAAATGTGACAATCCAGTACCCAAACTTTCAAAATGTGACAATCCAGTACCTGCCGTTAACCAGTACGTTAATCATCCGTTAAGTGACATTTGAAAAGTCAAAAATGCCCTAAGAATGCCATCCAATTCTCTTTATCAATCATCCAAACATTGACAATAAAATGAACAGTCCCAAATTCTAGATTCTTCTAAACAGTCACCAACTTTTTTGAATAGAAGAGGCTAGGAATAGGATTTGGGACTGTTCAGTTTTTTGTCAATGTTTGGATGGTTGATAAAGAGAATTAGATGGTATTCGAAGGGCATTTTTGACTTTTCATGTCACTTTAACAGCTGATTAGCGGACTGGTTAACGACAGGTACTGGATTGTCACCTTTTGAAAGTTTGGGTACTAGATTTTCGCATTTTAAAGTTCGAGGACCAAATTGTCACTTGAGCCAAAGTACAGGGTACTGATCGGGAATTTTCCCTAACCATAACAATACTGTAGATATGAAATTTTCAATTTTCTTGGATGGTATTACATTATCCATAGCATTACAAAGAATGAGAAAGAGAAGTCTTAAAATTTATTAACTGATTCTATTAGAGCTCCTAGCTTCCTATATAATTTTTCAAAACCAGATACAGGAAATAAGGTCATCATTATTATCGTGCATTATCAAGCATGGAGAGCATAAAAAAGATATCACAAAATTTCCACTTTCCAATATATCTTATTACATTGCACTAACCCTCCAACTGTTAATTCAGTTTCGTACCCTGCCTCCTTGGTTGAACCAAATCCTTGCTTAGCATAATGCAATGCTAGTCTTTCTCTTCTTTACCCAATTTACCCGCCTACCAAAATGATCAATAAAGTAAACATACTACTCCTGGATAAAGAGGAGACTAGTTTTGACTTGCGAATAACACTTGATTCAGTTAAATTTCTTGGTTTTCCCTTCAGTTGTTTAGGACCGATAAGGTTTCCAGAATGGTATCAACCATGCATTTACTCTGCGGTCACAGTCCCTGACGCTCCTCCAACCAACTTAACAACCACCCTCCACCCAGAAGGAAAAGACTTCGATGTTTTACATACATTTATTTTGATTAGACGAAAAAAAAATAACAACTTTAGAATCATAAAAAAAAAAAAGTCTATGCAACAGCTAACACCCTCAGTATTCAACAAAAAAGACAATTCTGTTATTTTCTAAGCCCTTTAACAGGAACCAGAATTGGGGGAGCACACAAATAGAGGAAATCAAAGATTCAAAACAGAACATGCAATCAGTATTTTTCTTTTCTTCGTGTTTTTTTACCGACAACTAGGATAACTACAACTATTCCAGAAGAAAATTAGGGACTGCACCACATTTGTAAAACGCCAGAAAAATGTACCATTTAAACCGGAAAGAAAATTAACGTTACGAGCGACAAATTTAAAAGTGATTAAGACCTAAAGTCTACCTAAACAAAGAGCAAAGATTGCTTCAAGTTCAGTAGAAATTCTTCCAATAGAGCATCAAAAGAGGGAAGAAAAAGAAAGGATGATGAGAAATAACAAGAAACTTCACCACAGTAGAAGCGATTTTACCTCTACAACTTCAACACTGGAAAAATCTCCCGATTGTTGCAGCTGTGTCCAGATAGAACGGAAATGTGGTCCATTCTGCTAAAGATTTCCTCCTACGGCAATAATAAAAAGAAGAATATGGTTCTATCAGTCAATGGACGGGAACGGGGAGCTTACCAAAAATGGAAATAATAATTGAATAAACAGCAAATGTCGAAGGGAAGAGGGACAATAGAGCGAGAGAGAGAAGGAATTGCAAGCGTTGCGATTGAAATTTTACAGTGACGGAAAAGCGGGAATGGACTCAGTGGAGACAGGGAGAGGACTGAAAAAGTGAAAATGGCAATAATAATAGAAAAGGACATTTGCTAATGGAGCAAAGCCACGACAAGCTAATTTTCACCAAGACATTCTAGCCATCCGATACGATTTGATTTCGGTATGGATGAGGAGATATGTACTTGGGTAGGATACAGGACAATCAAATTATGATGGGTCACAACTATGCATCAAAGGTCGTGATTTCACATTTTCAATTCTGGGATACACTCCGATGTAGTTGATTTTTTCTATCAGCAAGTGGACAGTGGATACTGAATGATAGCATTGGAAATCGGGAAAGTGGTATTCCACGTATCAAAATCCATAATTGTTTATTGTAATTTAATAAAGGGTAAATTATAAATACCTCCCGTACTATAGGGTCTGTGATAAAGACCCACTGTACTTTATTTTGCGACAAAAGCCTCTTTGTACTATGACTCTGAGACAAAGACCCCTTGCGTTAGTTTTCCGTTCAAATCCACTGTTATAAGCTTTTTTAATTCCGGTATTACCTTTATAATAAGAAAAACACTATTTATCTTTTCTGTTATTGTTCATCTTCCCTAACCTCACAATACACAAATACGATGGAAAATGCAGCGACGAGCATAGAGTGCTGGTTTGGTATGTGGAAAATTCTTCCAATCAAACCAACCAACATTTGGTTGACGGAATTGGCCTCAGGGTTGTTGTTAATTCACTTCTTGGAGTTCATTGATAGAATGTCCTTGAAAAGGCAGCAACTTTTTTTCCAAAATGAGAGGCATGTGACATCTGCAGACGACGTGGTTTTAGTATAAGGGTAGTATGGGAATTAAAAATGTTGGTTGGTTTGGATTGGAGGAGTTTTTCACATACTAAACCAGCACTCCATTCTCGTCGTTGCCTTTTCCATCCTGTTCGTGTATCGTGAGGTCAATGAAGATGAATAGTAACGGTGAAGATGAATATTTTTTTTCTTAATATAAGGGTAGTATGGGAATTCAAAAATATTATAACGGTGGATTTTAACGGAAAGCTAACGGAATGGGGTCTTTGTCTCATAGTCATAGTACAAGGGGGGTCTTTGTCGCAAAACAAAGTATAGGGGGGTCTTTGTCACAGACCCTATAGTACAGGGAGGTATTGTAATTTACCCTCTAATAAATAAATGTATTTGTACTATGTACGGGTGAATTCGATACCCACGATACTTTGCGTATAGAAGCTATTTATTTTTTTTAAATACACAAAAATATTTAGGTTTTCAATACCTCTTATTTTAATACGTTGTAGGGGCTCACTCATAAACCATGAGGCTCAAGTTCGATTTGAATTAGAGACTTGAACTCGAGTTTGAGCTTGACTTAACTTAAAAGCTTGGAAGTTTGAGCTCGACTACCTTTAATTGCAGGTCTCTTAAGCAATCGAGGTGTTGAGCCAAGGTCTCCCTCAATTGACAAGGTGCCAAATCGAGGTCTCCCTTAGCTGTTGAAGTGTCAATATGAGGTTTCCCTAGCAAGCGAGGTGTTAATTGAGAAGGTGTCAAGTTGAGGTCTCCCTTAGTTGTTGAGGTGCTAAGCCTTCCTCAGTAATTGAGGTGCCAAGCCAAGGTCTCCCTCAGTGGTTGAAGTGTCGTTTAGCTCAAGCTCAATTCGAATTAGAGATTTGAGCTTGATCTCAGAAGTTTGAGCTTGGCTTGGCTCGAACTCGACTACCTTTGATTGCAGGTCCCCTAGCAGTCGAGATATCGAGCTAAGGTCTCCCTCAATTGAAGATAGAGTGGCATTCTTGTAATTTATAAGGAGAGAGGAAGAGAGATATGGCATTCTTGTAATTTGTAATAACAAGAGAGAGATAGAGAGTTGGTAGGAGAGAGCGACATTCTTGTAATTCGAAAGAAAAAAAAATAATAAGATATGGAGAGAGAGTAGCATTATTGTAATTTTTATGAAAAAAAACAAAAAATACTATCAATTCCATTTCCCTACGTAACTATGGAGAGAGAGTTGGGCTCTATGTAACTATGGTGTTAGATTTATAATTTGACATGAAGTGATGTCCATAATCAAAATGATCCCAATTGGACGATCGGAATCAGCTTCAGCTTACGGTCTTAAGATAAAGGGGGTAATTAGTGTTGGATTTGAATTTTTGGGCTCTCCCTACCTATAGTTTTAGATTTATGATTTGATGTGAAATGAGGTTCAGTATCAAAATAACTCCGACCGGATGATCGAAATCGGTTTAAGCTTCAAGTCTTAAGATGAAGGGGTAAACAGTGTTGGATTCGGATGATCTTGGTGTCATTAGATTTGGATTTTTGGGCTCCATGTACCTATGGTTTTGGATTTATAATTTGATGTGAAATGAGGTTTAATATCAAAATGACTCCGATCGGACGATTGGAATCGGTTATGGCTTCGAGTCTTAGGATGAATGGGTAAACAGTGTTGGATTTCGGGTGATCTTGGTGTCGTTGGATTTGGATTTTTGGGATCTATGTACCTATGGTTTTGGATTTATGATTTGACGTGAAATGAGGTTTAGGATGAAAATGACTCCGATCGAATGATCGGAATCAACTTTAGCTTCGGGTCTTAAGATGAAAAGGTAAATGGTGTCAGATTTCAATGATTTGGGTGTCGTTGGATTTGGATTTTTAAGATATATGTACATATGGTGTCAAATTTCTGATTTGACATGAACTGAGGTTCATGATCAAAATGATCCCGATCGGACGATTGGAATTGATTTTGGCTTTGTGTCTTATGATGAAGGGGTAAACAGTGTCAAATTTGGGTGATCTTGGTGTCGTTGGATTTTGATTTATGGGATATACATACCTATGGCTTTGGATTTCTGATTTGCATGAAATGAAGTTTATGATCAAAATGACTTCGATCATAATCGATTCCAGTTTTGGGTCTTACGATGAAGGGGTAAACGGTGTCAGATTTAAGTGATTTTGGTGTAATTTGATTTGGATTCTTTGGCTCTCCGTACTTATAGTATCGGATTTCTAAGGCCCTAACTTTTGTAAAATTTCAAATATGCCTCTAGGTCGTTTGAGAGGTTAGCTAAAGCATGCTTGAAGCTCGAAGTGCTGCAAAAAAGACTGAATGACACAAAATGGGGTGTCTAATTTATGTTTTTATTTAGTTTTAAATTTGTTATTCATAAAAAAAAATATATTAAAAATTGCAAATTGAGGCAAAAAGGGGTTTTGACAAAAATAATGGGATATAGAACATCGGGATGCACAAATATAAAAAATTTACCCAAAATAAAAAAAAAATCCCCAATCGGACATTGAAATGGAAAGTTAGGCCTCCCAAAGTTTTCATACATGGTTAGTATGCAACCCACGATGCGATCACCATGTTGAATGGGTCAATGATCCAACCATCTAGCTTGGATTTTTTTGATCAAGTCAATGGTTTTTAACCTCTCTCCGGGTTTCACTCCAACTATACCCAAAATTTTAATTGAGTGATGGTTTGAGCAGTTAAATCGGCTAGTCAATGGCGAGTTGAAAACACTGGCCAAGTGGCCATCACTACTCAAACAAGCCATGATGGGAAGGGTTAACAACTTAACGTTACCTCTCTTCCACTCTTACTAATTGACTCACTACCAACAACAGGTACTAAATTTAGCGGATCGAATTCGGTAAGGGCATATCCGATCCAATCTGTTAAGAAAATCCGACTGATCCAAATATGATAAGGTTCGTCGGATTTTCAAAAGCATTATCGGATATTCCATTCGATTATAATTATATTTGTATTATGTAATATAAATATTAATTATATAGTATAATATTATATTAAAATATTTAATATATATATATATAATATAATATTTCATAATTAACGGATTGAATTGGATCACGAAAGATCGGATCAGCCAATATCCGAATTCAATCAGTTAAGTTAGCGGATTGGCTTTTTCGATTCGATCCAATTTGTTAGGATGAAGAAGGATATCCAAATCCGTCTCTTAACGGATCGGTATCAGGTTTCAATCGGATCTGATTTGACTTATTCTCAACCTGAACTAAATAGGTAATTTTAGGGAGTCTAGTAATATAGTGGCAACTTTTGAAGTTTGGGTACTAAAGTGAGACTATCCATGGTTTTTAAAAATAGATCGGATCGGACGATTGGATCGGAAAACTGTAATCGGTCAAGCTCCTGGGTCCGGTTATACTATAAACCGGCAATTCCTTAAAAACCGTTGAAAAAACAGAAAACCGCTGATCGGGAGGTCGAACCGCTAAACCATTCGACCCGGGCAGCGGTTTGCGGGTTATATTTTTTATTTTCGTTGATTTAAATAAAATAGAAAAATAAAAAATAAAATGACTCCTATATCCTTGACCCCAAATATTACGAATGCTTTGGGAACCTTCCCTCCTCTCAGCCCTCACACCCAACCGACCACGACCTACGACGTTCGATGGCGACACACAGCGACGACAACGATTCACGGCGACCGTTGACCGGCGACGGCGGTCAGCTTCATCTACGGCGGCCAGCGTTGATTTTGCAGCACGTCCAGCCATCCAGCAATAACAGTTACGGTAGTAACAGGTCCGGCGACCGATTTGCAGCGGCGGGCGGGGGTTTCTAGCGGCAATAACATTTGCAGGCTTGCAGCAGCACTTGCAATGGCAATCACTTGCAACCAAGCCCAAGCCCAAGCCCAAGCCCACCGTCACAGTCACACCACCATTATCGGCGGTGACCATCTTTGTTGATGGTGCCATGGCGGGGGCAGTGATAGCCAAGCCTGAGCATGTCAAGGAATTCATAGCTCAAAAACGCCGAAAATCTGCAGCCCCAATTAGCCCAGAAGCTGCCGCAGTGCGAACCATCAGAAATTTGCATAGTTTCCAGTATATTATTTCACTTAGCCTGCCTCTCCCATGACTTTCCGGACCAACCAACCCGGATCTGCCCTTGCAAGTCTCTCAGCATTTTGGGAGCAGAGCATGCAAAATCGAGCAATGGATCTTAGAAGCTTTGAACGGCACGACTCTTTCTGCACTGGCATTTGAGTTGTCTCCCCTCCTCTTTCAATCGACACACTCGACGTAGATAGCTCCGGTGGCCCTGGCTTCTGGCTCTATCAAGCGGCGACAGCCCCTACCTTCCCCTATCACGCTTCCCCAAGAACCCATTTTTCAGGATCTGTCTGGGCCATGATCTTTCTGAGCCTCTTGCAAAGACCTTTGGTGTTTGGGACTTTATTGACAGTGGTGCCAATTTCAAAACTGGATATATTCTGGTTCTTCCGATGATACAAATTACAAGCTTGACTAATTTTCTGTTGCTTCCTGACTTCCTGTCACTGCCCCGTTGGTTGCCATTGCCGATTTAATTGAGCGCTTACTCCTTGGCATTAGAATCTTGGTCATCGTGACCATTGTTGAGCTCATCCGCACACATGCTGTGATTCACCTTCTTTTGTCACTTGGCATTGGATTACCTCTAGTTCTTTTTCATGCAGTCTTTGGAGTTAGAGATGATGATGAGGATTTCCAAAGTAAAGCTAATTGAATTCAGTCTCAGATTCTCAATTTATGGATATAAGATGATCTAGCGTTCTACTAAGGCCCTCCAACAATGTCATAGTCATCTAATAATCTGTTGGTTTTAAATTTTATTCATGTTGGTTTCCTTAATTGTTAATTATTTAGATAGTTTTATTTTTCTATATTTTTTGATATTTTTTGTTTTTTCTGTATTTTATTTTTATATATTTTGTACTATATAACTTTTGTATTTAGATAGTTTTATTTTCTATATTTTTTTGTTTTTATTTAATTTTATGCTATTTTTTATTATTTATAAATATATTTTTATTTTTAATCTATTTATGATGTCACGGGTCAAACTATTTGATTCGGATGGTTGAACCGCTTAACCAGAAACCGGTCCCTTGACCGGTTCTGTTTCTGGTTCATTTTAAAAACCTTGCTATCCCCAAAGTACAATGTACTAATATACAATTTACCCCAAAAATGCCTATATCACATTCACTTTTTTATCTCAATTGGTTGTGAGTGAACTTCAAAGGCTCATATTTTTTTAGGACTGTTCGTTTTTAGATTGAAATTGCCCCTTTTAATAAGGATTTTTATGAGTAAATTGAGCACTTTATTACTTATGAAACACTCACACAGCTAAATGCATTTATGCAAGAAGAAAATTGAGTAAAACTTTGTAACAAAGACCTTACCTTCGAAACATTTACTTGAGTAAAAGGATCATTGATTTACTTTTAATAATGACTTTTTATTGTGAAAGAGACAATTTTTTAATAATGACTTTCAAAGCCCCAGGAAACATATATGCAAATAACTACACTTATCTAGGTAAATGATCAAATTAAAAATGAATGAACCTAAAATTCAAAATACCCACAAAATTCTAAAGGAGTTGGGAATAGGGGTGAGCGTTCTGTTTGTTCAATTCAAAATCAAATTGAATAAACCAAAAGTTCAATGACCAATCAACCAATCTTTAGAATTGAACCAGAAGCGAACAAACCGAACCAAAATTTTTGAATAAAACCAAAAATTTATACCATTGAATATATATACTCGTTCCCTATCAAAACAAACTTTAGTTTTCAAACATTTGGTCCTCTCACCCCTTGTATCATATATGCAATTTTTTTTTTTATTTTCTATAATAATATTTGTGTTGTCTATGTTGTGAATTTTTATAATATAAATGATTTAATGTAATTTTTTCATTACAATGATTTAATATAATTTTTACTCACTATGGTTTCCTTATCAGAGGGATCAGAAATAATTCTTCATCCATGTTCTCCTATCTTCAAGAATTGATGAAAAGAGGGAAATGGAATTTCCTGCCTCCCTCTGGAGGCTCTTGCATTGGTCAGCTGAGCCTCCATTCGCAATATAACTCCAATTTTCCCCTCTGCATTTTATTTCTGAAACTGTAATATGAACTGATGATGCGTTCTGTATATACGATTATAAACCATAGGATAGGTTTCGTCCTCAGTTGGGTGGTGCGTGTGGGTGTTTATTCTGTGTAGACAATTAAATGTGTCATTATATATATATATACCTATCCTATACTTTGGTTTGAGTGATAATTTGGTCCTCGAATTTAAAATGTGATAATTCAATACTTAAATTTTCAAAATGTGACAATCCAGTACTCGAACTTTCAAAATGTGACAATCCAGTACCTGCCATTAACTAGTCCGCTAATCAGCCGTTAAGTGACATTTGAATATCAACCATCTAAACATGACAAATAAAATAAACAGTCCTAAATTTTAGATTCTTATAAACAGTCATCAACTTTTTTGAATAAAAGAGGCTAGGATTTGAGACTGTTCAGTTTTTTGTCAACGTTTGGATGGTTGATGAAGAGAATTAGATGGCATTTGAAGGGCATTTTTGACTTTTCAAGTGTCACTTAACGGTTGATTAACAGCAAGTATTGGATTGTGACATTTTGAAAGTTCGGGTACTGGATTGTTACATTTTAAAAGTTTGGATACTGGATTGTTGCATTTTAATGTTTGGGGGACTAAATTTTCCCTTTAATTTACACCTGAATAGAATTTTGTTTTTTGGTTCTAACCTTGCAAAAAGCCCAAGAGACATTTGCCTATGGCTTATGGAGCCTCACTCCATTTTCACCCACTTCCAATCTCCTACCTACAAGAATCCTACCCACACTTGCCCACACCTCATTTCAGTTGTACATTGAAATCTCCCATGTTTGCATGTTACCATTTATGGAAGATGTTCCCAATGTACAACTGTAATGTCATGTGAGTAAGAGTGGGTAGGATTCTTGTGGGCAAGAGATCTGAATTGATTTTCACCATCCATCATCCATAAATGGTAATGAAACTCCAAATTTGACTCTTAGGCTATGTTTTGTTTAAAGGACAAGGTAGGGAAAGGCAGGAAAACCTATCCCTACTATTTCCTTTAAACCAAACACAGCCTTAAAAGTTTCGGTTGGGAAACCTAAAAGGCTGAAGGGTTTTACTTTGCAGCGCCTCTTAACCATTAACCATGTGGAGAGGCAGGGCCAGAGTCAATGATCTATTTTTTCTTTCCTTTTTTCGGGACGAGGAGAGCCAATAAATACGGATTGGGAGAATCAAATTGGTCTATTATATTAATAATACAAGTGAGGATTCTAAGAACTTTGAGTCATATTGGTAATTTGAAACAATGGAAATTGCTTGAGGTGGTTTCTACTTTCTAGCACTGAAAATGGAAACGGTTCCAAACTGAACAAACAGCTTAAACCCAAACTTACCCGTTTACAAGAGCCTTGATTCATTCAGTGGCTTCTAACTTTGCAAGGTGGGTCCTGCACAGACAGCCCATGAGTAATAGTTAATGGATAATCTGGAAGGTCCAAATATGCTGTCGTTGAGCTAAAAAAATGCTTTCTCATGAAGGTTTTTTAGTAGTTTCTTCAAAGCGATTCAGTGAAAGTGGCTATATCAAAGCTTGAGCATGCTGAATTGGCATTAAGTTTGTGATGCTTTCTGCATTCCACTTTAAGTAGTTATTTTAGCAGTTATCAATCACCATTCGAGTCATTAATGAATCTACTACCGGAATGGATAGAGTATGAGTCAATTAAAAACTTATATAGCTCCATACGCATTTCGCATTTGTGATTTTTTGCTTCTGTGAGGTCGAATTTCCTTCAAAATGGTACTGATAAAAGCTATCAGAATATACAAAAGTTATTAAAGCGCAAGTAAATCTGGGTCTAAGACAAATTCCAGAAGCAAATCCATTTGACAAATTGACATACATACTAAACCCACTCCTAGTTCACTGGGCCAATAAGTTAAAGCAAAGCCCAAAACTAAGATCCCATTGGCCCATTGATAGCTTATTAATAAGATTACCGTAAGAAAGTGGAAGAGGAGAAAAGAAGTGGCAGAAATTGGACAATAACGTAGCATTGAAGGAGTCAGGATCTCCTGTCCATAAGAATTCTGCCCATGTCTACTCAATAACATTGTAGCGACATATGGGGAGCATTTCATCCTCAATATAGTATTGTGCACGGAAAAATTTCCCAATGCACGGAGATAATGTATTGTGGATAGATGTGAAAAGAGTTCTTGTGGGCAGGAGATCTGAAATTGCATTCAAGGATCACATCTCTGCCCACAATGCCCCACAGCACAGGCCATGTATTAAGAACATCTCCTGATGATAATACCAGTCTCGATGATGTCATCATTGGAAGATGTTCCCAATACACGACGGGGATATACTGTGGGGCGTTGTGAGGCGGCCCCTTATGAGGCGGAGATGTGAACTCGCAAATGGGTGGCAAATGGGCCGATCACGGACTCGCGCACCAAACAAGTGAAACCAAGCCAAAGCAGAGATCGATAATGGCATGTACAGTCTCCACTTTGATGGTCAAACCCAACCTGTTACCTCTAGCGGGGGGTGTGTGTATTGGTGCATGTCTATGTTAATCACGTGATAGAATTTCCTCATTTGGTCTTTGATATTTGGTTGAGAGAGAGAGAGAGTTGCATTGTAATAGAAGCCAATGTCCAAGTGTCCAAGGCCTCCAGAGAACCTTCGGTGAATTTGAGTTCACTGGTGGAAGAGTAAAGCCAAATATTCCAAAAGATTTTTTCCTTATACTTAAAGTCTAGGCATGTAGATAAGGAGAAACAGAACATAGTTTAATCTTCTTCAAAGCCAAGCCATATGTACCCCAAAACTCTTCATTTTTTGCCACTAATTTTTACGTATATAAGAACAAAAACCATGTCCTCCCTTGATTTATATAAATCAGATGCTTCTGCAAAACAGTCATAATACAAACGAAAGCATGGAGAAAATCTTCTTGGTTTCGCTTCTTGTCTTGTTAGTATCAGCATCAGCTCATGGAATTGCAGAAAACATATACGATGACATTGCCATGCTTGGAGAACTTGAAGACTTGAAGTTAGAAGAAGAAAATGAGATACAAGAGAAAGTTTTTGAGATCCCTGGATGGACAAGTGAACGTGGTGGCAAGACCCTTTTTAATGTGGATAGCTTTGGTGCAATTGGAGATGGAATTGCTGATGATACCCAGGTGAGAATTCTCTGTGTGTATGTATGTGTTTAGTTTTTATTTTTTTTTAAATTTGTTGAGATTTTAAGGATTCAAGAAAAAGGGAAACAGAAGTGCCTCTCTTGGAGTAAATGGCCTGTTTCACATAAGAACTAGAATTTAATTACCTTGGTATCATACATTCTTCAAGTAGTGCAAACTAATTGATGAAGTATTACTAATCCCATCAGCTGAGTTCAACCAGCAAAGTTGGTTATTGAATTCAAATTTGAAATTGAACGATGGGTGATAATGAGTTGATGAATTTGCAATATATATGACAATTCTTTCTTCTCTTTTTGTTTGTTTTTTTTTTCCTGCATCGTGCGGTATATATCTCAGGCTTTCGTTAGTGCGTGGGATAAAGCATGCTTGACAACAAAATCAGTTTTCTTGGTGCCGGCCGGAGGGCGTTATCTGGTTAACGCCACTAGATTCAGAGGGCCCTGTGCCGATAGGTTAATCATCCAGGTACAATTTATAATCATTCGGTAATAATATAATTCAGAGATTAGCGGTAGAGTTTCAAGTATGAATGCTGCCATAGCTGTTGACACTGTTATGGGTTTACTTTGGATTGAGCTTTGTGCAGATAGATGGAACAATCGTTGCACCAGGCGAGCCCAATAACTGGGACCCAAATAACCCAAGAACTTGGCTCCAGTTCTCTAAACTCAACGCTGTAATTTTCCAAGGTAGTGGGGTTATTGATGGTTCAGGCAGCAAATGGTGGGACGCATCTTGCAAAAGAAACAAATCAAATGTAAATCTTCCATTTTATTGTGTTCTAATATATACTGTTTACAGATCAATCAAATAAAACTAGCTACGAGTCCTGAGTCCTGACATTTAATTTGTTTCTCCATCTTCTTTGACAGCCTTGCAGAGGGGCACCAACAGTAAGTATATCCTTCCAACTGATGGATGAGTGATTTAATCACAGTATTAATTAATTGGCTACGGCATTGTTGGCGGGTGAGTGCATTACATATTATCCAATTGACATAAGAAAAAAAATAAAATTAATATGCAGGCATTAACAATAGACTCGAGCTCGGCGGTGAGGGTGAAAGACCTTACCATCCAGAATAGTCAACAGATGCATTTCGTCATATCTCACTCCGATTCCGTTCGGGTGTCTAACGTCCTAGTTTCAGCTCCGGGGACCAGTCCCAACACCGACGGAATCCATATTACTGGGTCTACTAACGTTGTGCTCCAGGATTGCAAAATTGGAACAGGTTTTCATACAATCTACTCAGCCCCCACCATTCTTTCTTCTCTTCTTTTCCTTTTTATTCTCCGACAGTCTGACTGGTGATGTCCATTGAAGTCTTTGCCAACCAGATGAGCGGCTTGATTATTACTGTTTTCTTTCTTTTATCAAGAAAACTAGTAAGGAAACACTAACTGCATGTAGGTTGCAACTTACGGTAATCTGCTTGTGAATTGTGATAAACAGGTGACGATTGCATCTCCATCGTCAATGCTAGCTCAGCTATTAGGATGAAGAAAATCTACTGCGGACCAGGCCATGGAATAAGGTGCGTTCATATGAGAAGCTAAGCGATTAGAGCCAGTGAATAATTATTTACTGAAATCGCCTATATAACAATTCCCCCAGTTCCCAGTCAAAATAAGTCATTCGCTGCCTACTTTATATGGATCAAATCAAGGTTATGTCATTTACCGCCCACTTATATTGAAGTCACCCACACTGAAAATTTGCCTTGGATTTATTAATTCTTTTTTTTTGGGTTTAATTTGTTGGAATCTTTGAAACACAACTCTGTAAGCACGAAAACATCTTCCTTTTTAAAAATATATACTGAAAGTTTCCTCTTTCTCCTAAACACAATTAGCATAGGGAGTCTTGGCAAGGACAACTCAATAGGCATAGTGACGAAGGTGGTTCTGGATACTGCACTCCTCAGACAGACTACCAACGGCCTCAGGATCAAGACTTGGCAGGTAATTCTCCACCGCAGATCGGAAAACCCCACAAACACTTAATTTGAAGGACCATTTTATTAGACAATGGAAAGAAAATTATCGGAGAATGATGAAATCCTCTTTTCTCTTATTTTGCTGGACAGGGAGGTTCTGGATACGTTCGTTCCGTGCGGTTTGAAAATGTGAGGATGGACGAAGTTGAAAACCCCATCATCATCGACCAATTCTACTGCGACTCTCCAAAAGCTTGTAAGAATCAGGTACGTACTGTCATTTTCGCCTTCATCCCACCATGACCCAGGGCGTTCTTGCATGATCAACAATCGTGCAAGGTGCCATCAGTTGGCCTGAACTGAAAGCAACTCCCTTTTCTCTTATTTGCATTGTTAGACATCGGCTGTTGAAATAAGCCAAATTATGTACCGGAACATCAGCGGAACCACTACGAGTCAAAAAGCCATGAAATTTGCCTGCAGCGACACAGTTCCCTGCAATCGCATAGTCCTGAGCAACATCAACCTAGAGAGGAAGGACGGGACAGTTGAGACCTACTGCAACTCTGCAACAGGCTTTGGCATTGGCAATGTGCAACCATCGGCGGATTGCCTGAACTCCTCTAACAAGGATACCCACTCTGACCATGACCAGACAAAGGATGCCCATCTCATAAAATTCAGCAGAGAGGAGATTATTCATACCGAGCTCTGACTTGAGAACTCCATAGGCACTTCGCACTTCTCAATAGGTTTGCAAGTTGCAACACCAGATTTGTAGTCCATTGATTTGGGTGGACTCGTGGCAGTAGTCTACTGGAGATCTGAGGTCCCCCAACCCAGGTATTTATAAAATTAATATTACAGATTTACAGCTAACGAGAAATAATGAATATGTATATAGAATACTAAACATATCTAATGCTGTACTTAAGAAACCAAAACAGCAATTATCTAGAGATTGCCAGATTGGTTCTATTTCATTGCAACAGCCAGATACATGCGGTTTATGTCTTTGATATCACAAAAATTACTAGGATTTAGTTATTCATTAAGCATCAATCAAGAAGCTTCAGCTCCATTAGTGAAGTGTGGTTTTATTAATATCTATGGAGGTGGAGATGGTATCACTGCTCCAAATGGTCTTTAATTAAATTAAAAAGCAAAAAAAAAAACACCAAATTAAATGACAAACCGCACTAACCATAAGAATCCTGAATCCATACCAGTCTTGACCCTTGACTCTCGACTGTGCGGACCTATCCCTCTCCGCTTACTCTCTGCTGCATATTCTTGTCCTTTTATACATAAATCGTTCAAAAGAGAATATTGGAATCCCGGAACCATCTTTTTAATCAGCAACACTAATCAGCAATAACATCATAGAGAAGTTAAATCCCAACATTTCCAAGTTATACGGAATGTAGGGGACTCGAAACAACACTTAGCTGACAGGAACTCAAATCATGCTGGATCACAATCTTACACATTAGCCCCCAGGCCTGGATTGCAACCATCTTAATCATTGCTCTACTTTTCTATTTGAATCTGCAGCAGCTATAATCAAATCTTGTTTAATTTTTTTATTGAGCAAGTCAGAAATATTTGTTGAGTATCAATTGCAGCTCACCAATTGGGAGTGAACAAGATTAAAACACCCAATTATCATACAGAACAAAGAATTAAGTGATACGAATACATTTGAATCTGGGCACCGAGTTACTTATTGCATTACATCATAATTCATGCATATACATTGCTCTGAACATATTTTTGTAATGCACCAACAAGACATGTATCATGATTTATTTCATTTATAATTGGCACGCATGTTTCTGTATTTTTACTCGCCAACCAAACTAGTGAATACATAAAAGAGAGAATGCAAAAGTACAGGGCATAGAGGTCCAAGAAGATCCATAAAAAAACAGTAATGCAAAGATGAAAATGAAGGGGCAAATCTTTTAGCTGTCAACATCAGCATTTGGATACAATAGCAAACTCCCTTTTTCAATGTCATTTCCAGATTGAATACAGAGATTGGCAGGTCTATACATCGTTAAAACCAGTTTCAGTTTCCAAGCCATCATTTTGGAGACAATTTCAAAACACCAAACAATGTCATCTATATTTCTTCGAACTGGAAGAGTAACAATATGTTACACTTGCACATCAACATCATACCTATCTTTGTGTAAAGTGACAATCTAGAAACTGAGGAAAGGGCACTGCTTTCGAGCATGCTCTGGTATCAGCCTTGCCACAAGCTCTAGGGTTGCTCCCTTCAACTCTGTAAATAAGAAATCATTTAATATCAGCAGACAGCCAAATAGAATATACATACACAGAAAGAGAGAAAGGAACCTTGGGGTTTAAAGTTGAAAAGAGGAGGCAAAGGACGCCCATTAGGAAGACGGGTGCTCGGATCACGAAGTTCATCAAAAAATGGGTGAACACATGCCTCCAACTGCATCAAATAATCTAATAATAATAATTCATTCAAACAGATAAACAACAAAGGAAGCATTCACAGCTTCTGAGACAAATAAATGGATTGTAGGTGGGAAAAGGAAGCATTCACACACTTAACAGGGTGGGGGGGAGCACTCACAGCAGTGCATCGCAGATTTGGAGAGTACTGAAGGAATCTTGAGACAAGATCCACTGCTTCTGGGGGCATGCGTTTGTGGAATATCTGAACAAACAATACAAATGCAAGTTCAGTTACTTGCAAACAATAATCAAAAGTTTATATGCATAAATCCTGCAACAGGGAGACGCAGCATGCTCACTTTGTGCCAGGGGTGAGCCTTGATCTGTGGAAACTTGAATTCTGTATAGTTTGGATTCATACATTTGATTTCTTCTCGTGTAGGTGTACCAAGTACCTGCAAACCAGGAAAGAAAATTAAATTTTGTGAAATTGACCAAATAAATATATATCAGCCCTACTATCATTACAGTCTTGCCTAAATAACTTGAGGTGGTTAAACAAGTTCCACTTAATAACAGTAATAATAATAATAATTTCCCATCCATTTCTTAACAGTATCGGGAACATTTCTTTGCTATATTTGGTTTTAGGTGGACTCCTCCATAGAACATTGATACACTGTTCCCGCCAACCTTCTTTCCCAAAAGAAGAAAAGGGGAACGGATGAACAAGGGCAGACATCCTACGGATGATCTAGGAAGAAAGGAACACTGGAATTTTCTCAAATAAATCACAATCCAGAGAGACACTAATTGGTCTGATAAAAATTAGAGTCTTCACTGATGAAGAACAAGGAGTTCTCTTGTTTAACTTCAGATGATATTGTTAGAGGATGGCTTGCTGCATCAACATCTACCAGAAACATCAGAGGTATTGTAGCGAGTTTACTCCCCTCCACAGAGGATACACAGACTTAGCATTGCAACCCAAGTAGATCAGCCATAGGCAAGTATTCAGAGACCAAAGGGTCATTACTCAGTATTCTGAGAAATGATAAGTTCTGGAAATTCAACAAGGGTGGAACTTCAAGCTATACCACAGAGACTTGGGGGCCATTTAATAACAGCTGAAGTGACTGAACTTTTTTTAATGCGCTGAACTGAAAAGCTTATAACTTTGTCTTTTAGTGAACAAGTTTTTAAGGAGGTTGCCAGCTCCTTAATAGCTGAAGCTGAAGTTGGGTAGATTTCTCTTGAATATTTTATTGCTTATTATTTTATCCATTAAAAGACAAAGCAATAAGTTGTTCAGTTCAGCAACTTCAGCCATTATCAAACAGTCCCTTTGTGCATGGATATCAAGATACAGGAATCTGCTTATCAAACAGAACACATAAACAATTATTTACTGGATGAAAGGAGAAATGGAAGGGCCATGGCACTTGAGACACCAGATCAGGGAAGTAAGGTATATAGCTATAACCATGAAAGCAGCCTTTGCCTGGATCCCTAGGTCTTATAATTCCTGCTCAGTCTAGTTTGATAGGGAGTTAGAAGGCAGGCACGGCAGGTATAATTTAGAGTATGACAATGACAATGACAATGACAACAACAACTAATAATAACCCCTTGGCTGCATTTATTTCAACATTAAAGTGGCTTAAAATGAAGTTCTTAACCTAAAGGATTAGGGCTAAAACTGAAAATTTCCAACATGGATCATATCCACCCCTTTAGCTTATCACATGAGCCTTGGAATTGGAAAAGTGGTTACCTTGATTATCTCAACAAGTTGGTCAACTCCACTCTCTCCTGGAAAGAGAGGCTATTGAGAAAGGAAAAGAAAGACAACAATGAAAAGATCAGTACTCACACTCATAGCCATATTATACAAGAAAGAAAATATGCATTATCCTGGAGAGGACCTGTCCAAGAAGCAGCTCAGCAAGGACACAACCCACAGACCAAATGTCAATTGCAGTAGTGTATTCCGTTGCCCCAAATATAAGTTCAGGTGCTCGATAATATCGTGAACAAATATATGATATATTTGGCTCGCCTTTGACCTGTTAATAAATAGATGGAGAAGAAACATGAGTATATGACAAAAGGAAGATCATCTGCTTTAATAAACAACACCTGTACTGCTCTATGCTGAAACATCCTAACAATACCAAATGACTCTTGTCCATATTTATAAACATCAACTTACACAGAACACCCTAAACTCGATAAACACCAATTATGTGGAAATTATCATTTAATCACAATTACATGAATTACTAGTTGGTTCACAAGTAGAAGAAAACCATATTTAGCTTGGTTATTATTTATCAAAACCTTCTAAATAAGCAAAAGGAAAATACATCAACATGCATAGAAAAATAGGTGTCATACCAATACTTTCGCACTTCCAAAGTCACAAAGCTTAACCTGGTGAGTATGAGGATTAACCTGAAAGAATGGGAGGATTAGAGAGTTCTAAATAAAAAAGCAGTTAAGTCTTAGATTGTATAATACAAACCAGTAGATTCTGTGGCTTGATGTCCCTGTGGCAAACTCCAATACCCCCATGAATATATAGCAATGCCCTACAGATCTGCCATTGTGACAAGTTTTAGAACTATCAACACAACCCAATGTCAGCTACCACAAAAATTAAACTATTGTACAGTTCATATTGCTAACTACAACAATTTTGAACATGGAAGAGAAAAGAAAAAAGAATGCTACTAAATTGGCATGGTTTGAAGTTTTTGCTTTTATTTATTTCTAGAGATTCTTGTCATCTCAAGTCACCGTGTCCATATATGCTCGTGGGTTAAGATCCACATGACTGACAGAATTAAAGATCAAACTATCCTGAAACTTTACCCAATTTCACAGATGAGTAACCCACAAAGATATAAACATCTTGTGTGTTTTTTGTCGTTCTTGTTGGTTGGGTAATAATTAGGGTACATTTCTTTTCTGATGGAAGGGTACAACCTAAGGATTGGCCACAAAAGTATTGGCAGGGGAAAAAAACCTATGCTATAATGTTTATTATTGGAAGTAGTTTTGCCTAATTGTGAATACGAGTAAACTTGGTTCTTTTTTTCTTTATCTAAATTCAACCAAGCAAGCAAGACAGTAATAAAAGGAAAATACTGACCTTTCTAAAACCATAATAACAATGATTAAATGATAATATAGGGAAACATGGAAGGTGGAGACAATGTCAGATTTTGTAAACATAGCTACAGGAAACATTGTCAATTCAAGAACAATGTGAAATCCTTAGGGTACAACCTAAGGATTGGCCACAAAAATTCAAGAACAATGTATAAAATAAAAAGATACTAGGACAAATACAACACGGAGAAAGAACTTTTTATGGAGCATTTGGGAGGAAGGTAATGATAGAAATTTCAATGACAAGAAATTGGAGCCACAAACCATTCGAGGGTAGGTGACAATGGGAATTGACTGAATCCTCACTGGGAAGAGTGCAAGGGGGTCCATCATTAAAAGCTAGCAGGTGACTGCCAATACATGATACCTATAGACAATAAATACGGCACAATTTGCCAGTCTCCCACATGCCCACTCCAGCTATAAAACTATAAACTAATTTTTGATATTTTTTTATCAGCAATAACTAATCCTTGATGGACGATATACCTTCAACTTGGAGAGACTGCACATAGGGGAGATTGTCAACTTGTGATTGGCCAAATGCAATCTCATTCAGATAGGGAAATGGTATGTAGGCTAGATCATTGGTTTCAACTCAATAAAATGTTTTTTTTTTTGACAAGTAATTGATACAATAATTTTAAAACCACAACAATGAAGCATGGCATTCCACCATCCCAAGGCATGAGGAATAAAGCAGGATGCCAGAGGTATGAGCCTCCCAAGCATGGATATTTTAATTAGTAAATATTTTTTTAAATTAATAAATAATTTTACAATATAGTAAATGTCTCATAAAAATTGGAAAATTATGAGAAATTAGGAAATTTCAATTTATTTCATTTTTCTAATAATAAATCCATCACACTTAAATATACAATTTAAGCATCCTCATCCTTAATTATGTAAGTATCATCAGCCATCAATATATCACTTGTAAATTTGAAAATTAAAATATCAAAATTAACAATTTACATAAATTTCCCCTCTTTTACTTACAGCATTTAATATTAATATTCAAATAAACAAATTTGAAGGGTCTTCATCCTCTATAGACTATGCTGGAGTCTCAACTCTAGTGTCTGTATGTCTCTATTGTGCACCTCCAGGCATCTTCTTAGTGCCTTACAGCCCTTACCTAAGTCGCACACCTACAAATATATGACTCCAGTGCTTTAAAACATTGGATTGATCCAAGATCTGCAAATTCCTTCACAAACCGCCTATGTCAAGAGGGTCAACCTAGAGATTAACTATTGGGATTCTTTATCCTCTTAAGATTGATATTGCATATATATATATATATATATATATATATATATATATATATTCTGATGGCAATCCAAAAACAATAATTCTACAAAATCCACTTCTTTTATCATTTAAAAATATATATATATA